ACCGTTTCCCTCATTTGAAAATTTATTCACGTGATTGACACATAACCTTAGCGAGGGCTGCTCTCGGAACCTTTATTCTAACGTCCTATACCCTAGGCTATGGAAACCGTCTCAGTTATCCTCTTCACTTATACCATACTATATCCACTTCTCTGGGGCCCTTATGGCTTCCTTTGGAACTACTAGTTTGGCGATTTACCGCTTCATCTATCCATTTCTGAATTAAGTGAAACACTTATCTTGCCCTCTCACGCTATCAGTTTAACCTAGTCCAGATTCGCCATAGCAACATCGAATTTGAATTAAATGCAAATCCTTAAACTATCATCCATAAGGCCAAGTTATTCACACGTAAGTGATCCTTCCGACCTAGTTGCCCACGTTGGCCCACCCCAATTCATTTTTAAAGCTTAACCTTTGTTTGGCCTATCTCTTGTGATCCCATCTTATCCGTCAAGATTATCTTCTAGGATCAAAAAATCCTTATGGCAGTAGAAAAAGATAGGGTTTCGGAGAAGGATATTAGCACCCTTCATTTCGTTTAGCGAGGAAAGTGGAAGGGATTCGCATATTAACCTCACCATTGGCCGAGTCTGCCTCAGGCTTCTGCCCCAGTTAATGAGCATCATAATTCCATTTATTAAGGGGAAGGTTGTTATGAAAATCAGCCAAGAAATAAGACACGAAAGGGTTACGGCTACCATCCCATTTAGTTCGTATGGCTTACTTGTCGAATTAGGTAAACAATTCATGGCCCGGCCGACGCTTGAAACGGGCATGGTCATGACTAAGCATCGAGAGGTACCCAAATCAGTCGTCCTTACGATCGCACGTGCCGTCCTGATTAAAATAAGGTAAATGCATATAATGCCCTGGTTGGGCACTTTGATATAGGTTAAACAGGTACCGCTGCACTTTTCCGTCACAGGAATACGCAATCCCGTCCACGCTAGTTCCCGAGTATAGTAAATCAGTGACGCGCCATTGACCTCTACGTGATCCTCATCCGCTCGTTTCTGCAATCCTGATTCTACGCTTGCTGCCATATTACGCAAGTTCTTACCCCTGGCCAATTTGAGCTCGTGAGGTCCTACAATTACCCCACGGATGTTAGACTACACCAGAACAAAGTGACTTGGTCGCGATACCAGTGGACTATTTTCTCCCTACATACATAGTACACCCTAGACATCAAGGAGCACTGTAATAGAACCTAGGATAACGTCAGCACTACCCACAGCTCATTTAATCTTACCTTATCTCCCCCATTACTAATCAGCAGAGCGAGGACTCGAGGAGGCGACCCAGCGAGTCAGCCTGCTTGCCCGTCTACTTTGAGAGAGGCCGCAACACCCTAGTGACCCGACTCGCCGTCCCCTGCCCCCGCAGCAGCCAGGATTCTTGGACACGAGCGGGAGTCGCCCTCTTTCTACGTCCCGCATAAGGATGGCAGAGCCTGTGGTTTGGATTCCCAGCCAGCCAATGATTCATCGAGGATTGATCACCCTATTTGGTACAAGCCGTACTACTGTGACAAGACGAAACGATAAAAGTGTCATATGAGCCAAGGCTTCTTAATTAGACAAATAGTTGTGGTCGGAAGAAACAGGGGAATCAGATCAACGACAAAGTCGGACGTGAGGATGCCTCACCCAGCATCACTCGCCATTATCGTATCTACCGTCATTCCTAGTTGTGCAAAATTGCAAGGAATAAGATAAGATAACGAGGCCCTAGGACGCTTCGAGGCCTTAAGAAGAGTAAAGGAAAGAATCCACCCAATTAAACGCCCAGTGAGTCAATAAGATGAGGGTAATTTGTGACCCTACCACTCAGAATATAGGATAATCCGCACTACTTGTGGCCAGTATGGCGTTAACGAATATGCCAAATGGGCAGTCGTGTCGAGACGATGCGTTTATATCCTAACTATACACAAATTAAAAGAACGCGCCAAAGGTCAACCTGATTATAACCGGAAAATCAAATTAAACATCGGAGTGGTTGTAACAGACACTACTTTGAACTAGTGATAAAAATCGTGCTGTTGAGGAATTAAATGTGCACGAGTAACTTAAACCAAGTGTTCAATGAACAATAATAATGACTCAGAGGCAAGTTAAGTTATTAGGGGGCTCTGAAGAGAAAGAGAGAACAGAGCAAAGACGTTACATGGCAAAGTGACATAAGTCGAAACAAGTTCCAAAGAGGGCTCTGTGGAAGCGACTATTTTAGGGCAATAAAAGGAAGGTAGCAAAATTGTCAGGAATGCGGAATATCAACGAATAAAGATGCCCAATCACAGAGACATTTAATATTAAGATCGTAGCCTCTGTGCCCCTCAACAACACTATTTTGTCACAACATTTAATCAGTCTCCATAGCCTCGCTCCTATTTCTGTCGCCGTTAACTTCAGAGAGCTTGTCAACTGTAGTCCCATGACCTCGGTCGACCTCACCTTTTGGAGCAATCATATTTCCGGAACCACGAACGCTTTGTTGTGCAGTTTGATTTTGTTGCTCGGGCGCAACTGGAGCCGACACACCTGGTGTCGGTGCTGGTTGCGGGGGGACTGGCTTGGCTTTGTTAATGATGGGAAGACAAATCGATTCCAGTGCCTAAAATGGAAAATAAAATGCAATCCAAATACACTCAGATATAATAGAAAACCAAAAAAGAAACTGACTTCTCTTTCAGCTGTAATGTGTGAACACAGAACAACGGGGTTTTCCGTTAGATGCCTGTTGTTCTCAGGTAGTGCTTGAAGATTAAGCCAAGATTCCTTCTGCTGCAACGTAGTCTTTACGAGAGAAACTTCCTCGGGAGTCAGATGGCTGTAGGCTGCATCCCGATGTTCAATTGCATCGAGGACCTTGTGAATATGCTGAAAAGCATAGTAAGCAAAATAATATATAAATCGACATATATATATATCATCATTAAGACAGAGAAAAGCTTGACGTAAAGAGTAAATAAATATGCAGAAATTCGAACAACTAATTCAAAGCACTTATCATAGTTTAAGAAAAGCTAATCGACACGAATCAAGGTTGTTTGACCCTGTTTTCGCAACCTGGTCGTATTGCCAGACCTAGAAAGCACTTTGTCATATCCGTAGTATCCATGATAATTTAGAGGGATCGCGTACCTGATATGCTTCCCGGAATTTTGTCAGTATCGTCAATGAACCCCACCACTATTAGCACCGCACTACAACTCATCAGAGACCTGTTTCTTAATAATACGACCAAGCTGCAAAAATAAGATTCAATGACTAATATACAAGAGGACCACAACCATGCCAAAGACTTCACATCTTGATGTTCATATGTTCAGTAGAAGACGAGTGAGCGCACATTTCATTAGCAGTTATTTGTGTAGAAAACTGGGAAATCTGAGCCGAGCCCATAGCATCAGTTCAAATGTGACCGATACATTAGGATTAGACAAACAGAGACCACAACAATGCTGGGAAATGTCAAGTATATATGGCTAACATAAAAGGTAATGAAAATAATAGTAAGCAAGACATACATAGACAGTGCGCCTAAATTTGTCCAAGGCACCTGGCCTTTGTTCCGCTTCCCGGGCACGATTCTCAACCTGGTCTCCGAACAGTTGTAAGCTCTTTAATTTATCCAGATAAGCCTGCTTAGCAAGATTTTCTCCATCCCCGTAGAGCCAATCTTCAGTCTCTGACAACTTGTGACAGAAGGTATCTAGGTCAGAGGACTGTACGAAGCGTTCGCAAGTGGTCGAAAGTTTATCCCGGATGTAATAGACATATTCCTCTACCGAATTTTTGGCATTTGAACGCTCTCTCTCCAGCCGATCCTGAGAAATCATCTGAGACTATAAACAAAGCGATTATTAGACAAAAAACCAAATTCCAAGAGCACAAAAGAGTATACTAACCTCACGCTCCATGAAATTCATCAACTGTTGCTGACTGAATTGCATTATTTCAGGGACCATGCACAAATCTATGTGCTTAGTAAAGACTTTCTTCTTTTTCTTAAGCTCAGCAGATTCAGTAGGCGGAGTAACCTCACTCTCATTTGCTTGACCGGCCGTCTGAGAGGCGTCACCGTTTGCAGGAGCCTCCGAAGACTGCTCTATTTCTTCGCCCTCAGCACCCGCCTCCCTTATTTGTTTCTCAACCAATTGCGCATGTGATAAAGTAAAGATGCCACTTGCATTGATGCGAACTTTGATCTTGATAGTGCAAGATTCGCCGGGAGCAGAGGGCACGACGCCAGTAACCTTAAAGGTACCAATCTTAACATTTCCATTCGGAAGCTCTTCAGGCTGTGCATAAAAAGCCTCCAAGACGAAATCCGAGTGACGAGTAAAGGTGAACTGACGAGTGCAAGGAATGGGATATGATTGTGGCATCACTTCAACGAAGGAGACCTTATTTCCA